AGTTGATGGATACCAAGGTCGTTAATCTCGGAGTGGTCGGAGCTAAATATCTACCACGAGCTAGTGACTCTCAATTCGGCATTTATTTCGATGAGATAGATGAGCAACTAAAAATCGGTTCTGAACCGATTGGGTTTGATTATGATGATATTATTGTAAACAACAAACGATTTAAAGGTACTGAAGGACTTTGGAAACTTTTAACGAAGAAAGGGTTTGTGCAGTCTAATGAATACACATCAAACGATTGGCAGACATATAAAGATATGCTTTTGATGACAAACTCTATCTTCCAGAAAAATGATCCTACTACACGACGTCCAAAATCTAGTTCAGGACAAAAATGGCGGAAAATGATAAAACCTATTTGGGACGAAGTTATCAAACCGACCGATCCGATTGAACAAGATATGGAGAGGGATCTATTGACGGGATCCGGTTTAAAACGCTACCATGACGGTCCGGTTGAATATCGCTACATCAAAGACCTCAACGAGCTCATCAACCGTCTGAATTTTATTTACGCAGAGGAGGTTGCAGGCAACAACAACTTTCACAACGAAAAACTATCTGTTGTTAAATTCATATCCGACCGTATGCAAGAACTGATTGACCAACCGAACGGGGTCAAATACGTAGTACGATGTTTGTCAGCCTTGCCTGAACGCGCGATAGAAGGCTCGGGATTGTTGAACGACATCATCAACAAATTACCTGTAGAACTACACGCCCCGCGTAACTGGAAATTCGATACGTACAACTTCTGCGGTCCAGGCACGAAGCTCGCTGAACGATTAGGTCGTGGTGACAAGGGTGTGAACCCTTTAGACGATGCGTGTAAACAGCACGACATATGGTACAGAGACCACCGGAAGCCCGAAGACAGATGGGTCGCAGATAAAGCGTTACAGAAAGCGGCGTGGGATAGAGTGACGTCTAGCGACGCGGACCTTAACGAGAGGAGCGTAGCCCTCGCGACCACGGGTGCGATGTGGTTGAAACGTAAACTAGGGATGGGTTTAGGTACATCCGCGTGTTCATATCCCTGTAGAAAAAATGGGTATATATAAGTGAACAGCATGGACAACGCTTGGCGAATCTTGTCCCGCGAACCGAAGGCACCGAACGGTGTACTCACCGACGAGCTCGTTATGAAGTTCGATAGGTACCTCAACTGGGACCTGTTGTCAGTTCACTATGATTTCTCCATCGATATGCTACGTATTTACTTTCATCGTGTTGACTGGGGTCCTATTCTGAAGAGGCAAAAATTCAGTGAGAGCTTCCTTCGTGAGATGGCACCAAACTTTGAGCATGCGTGGTTTGCTGTCAGCAAGCACCAAATACTTTCCGAGTCGTTCATACACGACTACGCAAACAAAGTCGATTGGGAATACATTAAAAAATTCCAGATCGTTTCACAACAGTTTTTGGATGATCACAAAGCTTACATGGAAGAGGATTTCGATGAGTAAGCCTATATATATATACCATGTAATTAAAAAATAAATAAAAATAATTAGCTTATATTTTTTTTGTTCTTCTGTGTTATTAAGTCATTGTAGACAATGGAAGCACTGTACGAACGTTTCTCCACTGGAGTGGTGAAAAGCGAGTACCGAGCTGTTATGCCGATATCCGAGTTGAATTTCAACACACCAAACAATTACACAATCTTCAAACTCGATCACGGAGACACGTTTTACGACTCGGCAATTCAATATCACATCTGCGGTGAGGTAGTAAAAAAATCCGATGGTAAAGCATATGATGCGACTGCCACTATAGCCCTTATTGACAATTTCATACCATACCTATTTACAAGAATCGAACTGAAAAAACACAACACAACAATCGATGTGGTCGATCATCCGGGAATTACAAGCACTATCAAAAGTATTCTAAACTATCCTCAATCGATGAAACCCGCTTTGCAAAACTGTGGGTTCGCATCAAGATACTCGCTTGGTGGTGGCAAGTTCGAAGCAATTGGAACCTTAGCGCATCTCGGGTTAGGGTTCTTTGACCACATGCGATACCCCATGTACAAAGGTGGATTCGAGATTGTATTCACAAGAGCTGAAGATAACGATGCTCTATACCATTGGAAAGGAACCGGTACCGCAGCTACCGAACCTGAGGATGGCAAAGTGAAAATCACTTCCTTCGTTCTCAGAGTTCCCATAGTGGAATATACGTCAACTAGCAAAATCCAACTAATCGATGGTCTAACAAAACTTAGTGAAAAAGACGAGTTGGTCTACAACTATTATCAGTGGCAATGTATTGACAAAAAGGGTGTGTTCGGATCTACGTACACATTCGACATTACAAACGTTTATAGAAACGTATACAACCCTAGATTCGTAATCATGTGCTTTCAAACTAACCGCACGAATGATCAGAAAAAGAACCCGGCGCAATTTGACAGCGAAAATATAAAAAACTTTGCAGTTAAAATAAATGGTCAACGTTACCCTCAAGAACTACAAAACGCTGCAATCCTCGAGGGACGTTGGAGAGTGATTTACGAGCAATTCATGAGATATCGTAAGGTGAATTTCGATGACAGCTCAATGATCATTGACCCAAGCGAGTTTATTTCACACTACCCACTGTGTGTTGTCGACACACATCTTCATCCGATGAATACAGACCGTTCTAGAAGTGACATTCAAATAGAATTCGATTTCACAAACGCAATCGCATCACCATCAGCCGATTCAGGCACTACCGCATATGTCATCGTAGTCTCTGAAAACGCGTTTGCCTACGACATATCAAGGAACATAATCAAGGTGATGTAACTGCACATTTATATAAGTGAGAGACATGGCACAATTGGTAGATTTGCTTAACGCGTGCCAAGCACCCAAATACACTAAAATCGAAGAGCTGCGACATGAGCATCCCTACAGAATAGTGGAGTTGCAGCGAGTCGTGACAAGATACGGTCCCTCGGTAACCGCTACTGTCGAAGAAGACCCTTGTGGCAATCTAAGAAAATTGTATCTCCCATGCAGGTACAACAACGTTTTGACAGACGTCATGATTAGAAACTACAACAACGGTGTCAACGAAAAACTTGCTTTGATACCCAAAAGCCATGGTCAGATCGAGTTTACAACAATAAACTAATATAACAGAAATAAAATACGCAAAATAACTGAAAAACACAAAAAAATATTTTTTCGCCTCCGAAGGATTGGCGTGGTCGGAACCACGTGCTGAGTCACTCAGAAGACACGTAAAAATCAACATGAAAACAATGAGTTTCAAATGGCGTGTCAGTATACATTGAGATCGAAATACTGCATCTTCATACAAATCCTCTAGTGAAAACATGAGCACCGAATGATGCAATCGACGCCATTTTTGTGCAGTTGAGAACCTATTGGTGGTCCTATATAAAATGAGATTCAAAAGCTGTTGTCGTTTTCGATCTCAACCGTGAGATCCTATTATACGACAAGTATACCAAATGAGAACTGATTTAACGTTGCAATCGGCGTCATTTTTGTGCAGTTGAGAACCTATTGGTGGTCCTATATAAAATGAGATTCAAAAGCTATTGTCGTTTTCGATCTCAGCCGTGAGATCCTATTATACGACAAGTATACCAAATGAGAATTGATTTAACGTTCTTTATATCTACACAAAAAAAATTGTCATCCAAATCAGAGGATCAGTCTCTGTCTGTAAGATCATCCTCTGTTTACATGTGACGTCATGGACACACCTCCCTTCCCGACCTACCTCAACCCACGTGGTCTACACTCCTCCCTCCTCTGTCCTAGAACGTGAGTTTCAAATGGCGTGTCAGTATACATTGAGATCGAAATACTGCATCTTCATACAAATCCTCTAGTGAAAACATGAGCACCGAATGATGCAATCGACGCCATTTTTGTGCAGTTGAGAACCTATTGGTGGTCCTATATAAAATGAGATTCAAAAGCTGTTGTCGTTTTCGATCTCAACCGTGAGATCCTATTATACGACAAGTATACCAAATGAGAACTGATTTAACGTTGCAATCGGCGTCATTTTTGTGCAGTTGAGAACCTATTGGTGGTCCTATATAAAATGAGATTCAAAAGCTATTGTCGTTTTCGATCTCAGCCGTGAGATCCTATTATACGACAAGTATACCAAATGAGAATTGATTTAACGTTCTTTATATCTACACAAAAAAAAAATTGTCATCCAAATCAGAGGATCAGTCTCTGTCTGTAAGATCATCCTCTGTTTACATGTGACGTCATGGACACACCTCCCTTCCCGACCTACCTCAACCCACGTGGTCTACACTCCTCCCTCCTCTGTCCTAGAACGTGAGTTTCAAATGGCGTGTCAGTATACATTGAGATCGAAATACTGCATCTTCATACAAATCCTCTAGTGAAAACATGAGCACCGAATGATGCAATCGGCGCCATTTTTGTGCAGTTGAGAACCTATTGGTGGTCCTATATAAAATGAGATTCAAAAGTTGTTGTCGTTTCTGTAAAGTCGTCCAAATCAGAGGATCAGTCTCTGCCTGTAAGGTTAGGTTAGGTTAGGCAAAGTGAGGTTACCTACCTCAACCCACGTGGTCTACACTCCTCCCTCCTCTGTCCTAGAACCCCCAAAATGACTACTACTACTATGTTCTCTTTTAATAAAGAATTGGTGACTTCTTATCAATACAGATTGTAGAATTCTGGGAGAGAAATATTTTCCCCTTGTTATTCATCCATTTGTATTCAAGACAAGAGGGTAAGACTCATATCTCCACAGTTTGTTGGCAAAATGTCACAAATTATACTTTTAAAAACTTTTTCCTGATTATGATTGTGACTGAGCGTTAGTTTTACTTACAGTATGATGGTGTCATAAATGTCTATTGAAATGTGCAAGAAGAATTAAAGATTGTAGATTACCTTCTGTAGTATTGAGCATTTACCTCTTTAAATTATCTATACTTGACTTCTTAAATAACAGCTGATTTGTGATTCCAGGTCGCAACGGAAAGTACTGGCATGTGGACAGTGAAGGCGTCCACGTTGACTCTGACACTCCAGAAGGCTTCTTCCTGGAGCTGCGTGAACCGACAAGGATCTGCATCAAGGCTGCAGGCCCGAGTGGATGCTACCTCAGCGCTGGGAAGAACGGCGCGTTTAGACTCGCAGATACCGAATGTCAAACGGCGACCAAGTGGGAGTACTAAAAAACTCCTCGTCAACTCCAGCAAGCAGAGATTCAGTTGATGCAATCTAGGATGAAATGGAAAAAGATTAGATAACAGTGGTACACAACACTATTAATTTTTTTGAAAAGAATAACGTGAGTTCCAAACATGCATTTTACAAAATATACACAATAATTAGTGCTGCCCACCTTTTTTGAGGTTTTACTGGTATAAACAATTCATAAATACAAATTATCACAAATTATCATAACAGTAAACAAACAGCTTAATATGTTTCTGCCACACCATTAACATTCTTAGTAATCACAATTAATTAGAAACATATTTTCTGGGACAACTGAATCTTTGCTTGCAGGAATAGGTTAAGAACCCAATTTCATATTTAAGCTGCTGACTATTCCTTTTGTAACTGTTGAACTCGCTTCATGTAACAGCACATGGTTGTTTGTCAAATATATTTTACTAGTTTTCCATCCGTAGAGTAGAACATTGTGATAATTTAGTTGTGACTTCAGTCTGTTGGGCTTTGTTATATTAGCTTATCAATTTGTATACTAACAACAGTCCTTAACTGCCCTATACAGACTTTGTATTTTATAAACTGATGGATTCAAATGTTAATTTCAACATTGATGATTCACTGTCAAATAATTAACCACTTTTTTCTTGCGATTTTTTTAAAGAATAAACTAGCTTGAACTATTACAGCTATTGAGTTCGGTAAACAAATAATCACAAAATGGAAGGAGTAAATTTATACATATTTATATAACCCAGTTAATTTGAAAATAAATGTTTGCCTGAACCACAACTGCCAGTAACCACACAATCTATAATTATTTTTGAGAAATCAAAACTTTTTTAACAAAGAGACATGGGAGTTTTGTAAGAGTTTTTATATAAGCAATATGTAGGAGAATTTTGTCTATCTTATTTATACGGTTTTGTAAATAATTAGATTTAGGTATTTTCCATGTGTAAATGTGTCGTAAAAAGATTAATAAGTAGAATTTGTAAAACACAAATCATTTTTGAGTGAAATTTAAAAGACTGTCTACTCTGGTATCCCAAATTCAGTATTAACAAATCATTTTTGTATACATTTAACAGTTGTGTATCACAAATATGTAGCGCAAGTCTTTTTACCTACGTTTTTTAAATTTTTGATCAATTTAATATAAAGTTTTATTTTATAAAATATTAGCTGCATCGTTTGAAACCCTGTTGTGTCATATGCTCAAATCATTACTAACCCAAGATGATATTTGCTCTGTGAAAAACTAATGCGTTTTGTGTATTTTGTAAAACTAACAAATAGATATGCGCGAGAATGTTGTATGAAAGGAGTCCCCATTTGGAGTTTATTTCCAAGTTCTTTTAAAGGTATGAGTTGTAAGTTGTACTTACCTTTTGGTTTAGGTTATTTTAAGCTATTTATATATATTTATATATTACTATACCAAAAATAATTATATTGAGTTCTTATATCGTTTATTTGTGTTTCCTATACGAGAGGTTTAGTTTATTGTTGAGTGGATGACTGAGTCCTTGTATAGATGAATATTTGTTCCTGTAAGTTTTTATGGATGTTAAGCTCCCCTCTCCCCTTTCCCTAGGCTATTCATAAACTTATTTGTAATTTATATTCAATAAATATTTAAGATGAAGTAGTCTTTTCTCTCTCACATTTTACTGTTCAGTTTTTACTTACTGTATTTAAAGATTGCTTTGGGTATCGTCTTTACACTTTATATAGATAATTTTGAGAAGAAGGGAATATGGAACCCATAATTTTAACCCTACAAGTGGCACAGTTGGTTGCGAGTGAGCCTTAGAATGGCCGATGACCGAATCCGTCGGTTCCATTCGAAAATTTTGCACCACTACAAATATTTATGACGAACTTAAACTAGACTGAACTGAACCCCATATCAATCGAAAGATTAGATTCTGAATACCCAAATTATTACACAAATAACCCCAGTAGCATCAGTAAAACATTATGTCAATTTAATATTAACACTATTTTCCATCTAAAAGTGATTCTAGCAGATAGTGTTCTCAAAAAGTGTAAAAGCTTGAGCTTATTCAAGCTTCCCACAACTGGGGTGGATTTCATTTTCGCGGGTTTAGGTTGGTATCAATGTAGACGGGAAGAAATGCAGAAATATGATATTATTTGCTATTTCAATATTGTGAGTAAATTTTGTAAGATTTTGGAGAACAGCTGTTTTTGTAAAAACTGGCCACAAAAATGTGTATTATCATGCGTAGATGATAAAACTTTTACCAATAAGGTTGTATTTAATTTTGAAGAGGAGAAAACGTAGATTATTTTGGGTTCTTGGTTGGTAACAGAAGTCCCAGTTTACATCGGGTTGTGACATAGTGAATTTTGGCGAGAAGACAACGGTAATTCCCACTCTCCAGTGTGTCTGCGTCAGTGTGTTCGTAGTTTATCGCGTCTTTGCCAACGTGTGTGTAACTTCGGTGTCTATTATCGGTGTTATTGAATCTGTTATATTCTCAATTGAAATTGTAAGGTCTTACCTTAGAATTGTCTATCTGATATTAATTTCGACCCCCGAAGGTCCTCCTTTCATTTGATGACATGATTAGTACATCTCCTATTTTGAATCGTTTATCAATTTTTTCTTCATTTAAGATTTGTGCTGTACATTCTCTGGTTTGGACAAAATCAACTTATTATTGTAATGATATATTGAGGTAAATAGCTAAATCTCTTCCCTAGCTATTTGTTTGCTTCGACAATCGACATTGATTCTTCTTGCATCTTCTCTATGAGTAATTTGATTTCAACTTCACAGTATCATTCCTATCATTTCTACAAGTTATTTACATATATTTGATAAAAAGATTGACATGTTATTTTGTCTCTCCCTTCTCATGATAACATTCATTATCTTACTCTGAGGCAAAAAAGTAGGGGTGTGTGATGCATCGAAATGCATCAAAATTACAATTCGATTCGATTCAGTGTTGGTAAAAAAACGATGGAGTGAGTTTCCTTGTACAAAAAATGCCTGCAAAAAGCCAATGCATACCCGCAATACAAGAGCGCTTTGTTGTTGCGTTTCGTTTTTGAAGGCGTTCTCATTTACTTAATTCGTTTCATGTAAATAAATATTGCTTTAATTGTTTTATAATTTTTTATTTGAAATTTCAAATGATGAGAGGTTTTGTTAAGTGTAATGTAAGCAGTGTGAGACATGTTTAACTACTCTAAACATAGCGAAAACAAGTGACTCCAAAATCATTCAAAAAATAACTCAAGTCTGAAAATTTGTTACTTTATACCTACTTAGCTATTAAGATTGATATTTTAGACTGATAAATTTTGTATTTTTGTAGGTCTGAAGCTATGTATACCTTGTAGTTTGTAGGTCTGATTCTATCCTCTCATTTTATTAATGTAAACCAATTGAAAGTTTCAGTATCTTACAAAATTTGTATTTGTTTAAACCAAAACATAGCTTTATTTGTAAAATCAATAGGCTTATTATAAAATAGGTAACATGCTTAACAGTATGATTCTGCAAGTAAAAATCATGAAATAGGCAAGTTAAGCAGCTCACTGACATTTCCAGCAATAAAGGTTAAAAATCTTCTAATATATGATTGAAAATAAATATTTTTCACCTAAAATTCATATATGTCATGTATGAATATGTTAGGCCTAATACCACATCAATAAAAATTTTCATTGGTAAATTTTAAATATTGTTAACATTTACATAACAAGATGATCTGCTGGAATCATATTGCTCATTGGAGCCTCTGCTGGTATTCATTTGCATTGCCCCTGCCAGGGGTTTTAGTTCCCCACGAAGAATCCCAGAAGTGGTATAAAAATCCTTGAAAGACAACACCATAACTGATACTCACTCTGAACAGCTAATATCACCATATAAGGCACAAGAACTAGTCCGTTAGTATATTGGCGATTCGAGTCTTGTCTACCTGCACAACCTTGTCATCTTCTATAGTTGGCACTCCTGTTTTACAAGTTATTGTTTATATGTATTATTGATTGTATATGTTGGCAGCACTGAACACAGGGTCTCTATAAATAAACTTTAGACTGATAGTTGATAGTTTAATATTGGAGTGTGATTAATTTTAAGTGTTGGGTTTTTAGATTAATAATGAACCGGTTTAGTTAGGTACTAATAAATGTTAATTGGCTATTTATGGCAACACTTGATCAAAAATTTAACAAGACCAGCGGTTTTATTTATAATCCCAAAGATTTACCCAGTAGGTGAACAGAAAAGAAGCCCTAAAATATTACTTTAGGTTTTTAATTGACTGTGATACTGTCTTGAAATGATATATACCCTATTCTTTCAGTCTGCTGAACACGATAACCTTCTCACAAAGCTATCTCAAATCTCACACTTTGCGTATAGTGAGAATATTCCGTGATATATAACGCAACAGCTACCTGACATTAGGCCAAAGACCGCCAAGCGCGGGAGGTGCCCGCCGACTCAAAGACCTATAAATCTAAACACCTAACTAGAACTACTGCCTTGGGTCAAACACCACTAAATAATGTTTTTACATTAATTTTCCTTCCCATTAGACCTGTATCGAGTTATACGTTGGGTGATATTGATGGTGGTTGGTGGCGAGAGAGGGGGGGGGGGTTGATGGGGTGCAGTAGTTCAATTGGGACAATTTGACCTGCACTAATCCACGTCTCATATCAGTGTAGACCATAAAATAATAGTTCGATTGAAACAAGACTGTTGGGAAGATTGATCTCGAAGTTTTAAAGAATATTGGGAATATTTTAGCGTATACAAAAAAGGCAGTCAACCACAATAATCCTTTCTAAATAAGTTAAAGTTGAAGTAGCTTACGCCCGTAGAAGTGATTATTCTAGTTCCTATGTTGTTATACGTCACTCGGCCTTGCTCGTCACTCGTAACTGCAAGCTATCAACATTTCAATAACAAAAACATCTCAGTACCTCCCCTGTAGTAGCAAACCCAAGTATTACTAAAATTAATGTTAATTAATTTGAAGTTGATTAATTGAAGACAGTTTGAAGGGAATATTTTAGAAGAAATCCAGTCAGGTAAATATAAATTGTCTTAGTCTGCAGGTTTGCTGCGGCGGGGGTATTTTTTTTATTTTTGCTCTAGTATTTTGTACGTTGTTCTGATTAATTAAACATCCTCACAACCATTGAAGGCACAACATTATGTTGTAAACACCTTTCTGAAAGGGGATTCAGGCTTTTAGACAACAAAAAGCGTTTTAAGAAGATCAAAATCAACATTATTTGCTGGAGAAGGTATTTTACACAACCTCTCGGCAAGAGTTTGCTCCTGATGAAATTTTCTCAAGGAACCTTTTCCAACCAACAACCAGAACACATTTAGCCGCCTCACATAAGCTAGTAAGTAGGGAATAGAGACAACACCTCCGTTGTATTGGCCCTTAATCATTTCCCCTCTCACTTTTCTGACAGAGCCAATTACGTGTTCGATCCACTAGCTCGGCCCTCAAAGAACAAGGGGCGACAGGCGAGGGATGAAAAATTGATAAGAACACAATCCTGCAAAGGCTGCCTTAGCGACTGGCACGGGCCTAGCGGATGAAATGAACTTGTGCATCATGTATTTATAAAACTTCTGCCAGAGAATTGTCACCAATTTCAGATTGGTTTGGGAGAGAAAGAAGTTCAATAGAGAGAGATTTCCTTAGGATAAACTTAGATTATTAAACTTAAATCTGGAGGTTTTTAATTGTATGGACAATTTTTGCAAGTATCCATTCGCAGTTGGAACTCAAGCCTTCGGGACTGAAGCCCCTCCTGAACACTAGATATTGATCATAAGAGTTGACAACAAAACTTCACTTCTAAGTAAGCTAGGGTGTATTGATTCACAGATTAATTGATTTACATATTCATGCTATGAATCCGAACTATCGATTATAAATGTCATATTTTACGAGATCGTGGTTTACAAGATTTTACGTAAGAATAATATTTTAATTCTATAGGCTAAATTGTATATTCTTAAATATCAAAATACATTGATTCAGACAAATTACGATAGCAAAATACTGAAATAATTATTTCTTTAGACTGTTTTATTAGCTTACACGATTTTACTAATAACATTTATATTCCATGTTGTCGAGCAAAATAATTTTTATACCGAGGCCTGTTTGTAAGAAATCATTTTGAGATCAATAAATAAATACTCCCACTGCAGCAAACCTGCCGACTAAGCAAATTTCCATTTGCCTGGATTGATTTTCAATTAATCTATTACATGAACATTTATGTTTAACGAGTACCTAGGTTAGCTGCTACAGGGAAACTAATAAAGTGTGTTTTTTATTAAAATATCAATAGCTTAGTATGAAATGAATAAATCCCCCAATTTTTTATCAAAATATATCCATAAACAAGCCAACTACAACATTTTACAATATTCTCCATGAGAATAACATGGGAATTTTAAATTAAAATTTATTTATTTTCTTTGTACCAATCACCGTACAAAAACACTTTGATATACAGAATTATTGGTTTTTAAGCTCTTTAAAAGGTCTGAAACCAAAATTTATCAAAATCGGACAAAAATTACTCAAGTTATCGTCTGAACGGACACATATATATTACACTGGATAACATGTATTAATACCAACTACTGCCATTCTAAAATCCAGTTGATTCGTTTTTGACCCCAGGGATAAGAAGAACTACTTTAGCCCTGCAACGCAAAGATAGGCAAGTGTAAACGGCCATATGTTCACTACTGGACAAAAAGCCCACTTCCAGCACAGACCCATAACCAGATAAGATGCTGAATCTTAGTAGTAGTTTCACACTCGTCTAGTACAATTAGTCGAATTTTCCGGCGATTGTAATTTACACGGTTGTGAAGCAGTAGGCAATAGTGGTTCAAATGGGAGATTCCGTCTGATAACCTTGGACAGTCGGAACGGCTGGAAATGAAAAATTACAGATCCCACAGAACAGCTGAGAAGATTTCGAAATATGCAAATTGAACGAGCCTAAACTGCTAGGCGTGAACTTGGGAGAATAGGATTTGGCAGCTTCCAGTGCATATTAAATATACCAATAGAGTTTTCGTCATACTGCAGCAAAAATAGCCTTTTTAATGCATGCATTGTGGGTCTAAAGGACCATTTTTACTCTCTAGGGAGTAAAATCAGCTGTTGTAAACGGTTGCAAATTTCGATTGTTGCAATCTTATCGACCGAAATTATTTATCGATTGATTTAATAAGTAAAGTTTTAGCATGTTTTAGCCTATTGTTGTCGATTGTATGACATATCGATGGTATAATGTACTGTAACACAATCGTAATGGATCGTAATGGAGGAAATGAATTTTTTTTTATCACTTACTTAACAGCTACTTATTTGTATAAGCAGAATTCAAAACAACCTGGGAGTTGTTTTGAGAGGTTATCTTTACAAACAAATTATTTAGTTTTATAGCGTTGTTAGTTAATTGATGGTGAAATACGAAGAAAAATATTGTTCACCACACGGGAAAAAAGTGACTTTTTAACCCTTGTTCATTTTCCGACCTCGCCTTCGCCTCGATCGTAAAACTTTACCTCTCAAAAAGAGTCACTTTAGGTTAATGATTTCACAATAAGTAATGAAATATACTATTGTGGTTACTTGGGTTTGAATAAACCAATGGCTTGGTGGATAACTGGTTTAGAAGACCTCAATAGTTTTGTGGATTCATGGGTTTGAATGTATAAAAATATCCGTGGATATTTTTGTATATAACCTATACTGACCATTTGGACAATGGATTTGTGAATACAGTAATTGGATTGGAGTAAAACAGTAGAATGGGATATTTATCCTATATCCAAATAAGAGGCTTTGTGGCTGCTTAGATTAAAATACCTTAATAAATTCCCGACTTAAATAGTGTCTTAGCTTAGTGGCTGTTTGGGTATAAATAACCAACCATTTTTGAATATTTGGTATCTCATGCCTCTTAAATCGTAATTAGTGTGGGTTTTGTGATAAATACTATATTTCTCTTCTACTGTGCTACTATTTTTTCTCATGATATATTTTCCGTCAATGATATGTGATTAACCTCAATTTTGTGGTTGAAAATCATAGTTTTCTGTTCTATGAAACTTGTTTGTCAACATGTTGTATATTTTATTAGTAACGTATTTTATTAGTAACGTATTTTATTAGTAACGTATTTTATTAGTATTTTATAAGTATTTTATTAGTATTTCGTTATTGTATTACTTTGTATTATGTTTCGGGTTGGGAATGAAACGTGGAGGTAAAATTTCCAGTAGGGTCTATATATTTTTATTTACCACTGTAATAACAACATTCACAATATATTCAAATATGTACAAAACGTATAAAACTTACAAAATACTCTATTCTAGATGCGTTGTTCTTTTATAGGCAGTTTCGAATACCAGAGTTAAACATTTTCAGTCTTTTTGTAGAGAGTCTATAAAGTTGATATTTAGTATAAAGTCATAGGTTCATTTAGTTGAGTGAAAAAACGAAAGTATTTACTGTACAACAAATTATGAACATTAAATTTCTTGATTCATAATGTAGAATCACGCACTGTCAAACTAAAACTATTATTACAGTAAAACTCTCTTATAACGTAAACATTCATAACGCAAAATTTCTTATCCTAATAAACTAAAGTCAATAAATTAATAATATCTTAAATATTATTTACAATCCTTATTACTAAAACAATGAATTGCACTTCCATAAATTCTTATGGTTGTAACATCTAATCGTTAAATAAATTATTGTAAACTGGCACAAAACATTAGTTTGGAGTTTATTCTTATATGAAATATCTATAATTTTAATAGTAACAGATTTGGTTTCAAAAAAAGTTTAATTTGATATTTATCTATTTCACAACCAATTAAGATATTTCACATGATATTTTGGTAAAGAATTATTTTAAATTTTAACAATAGTAATGGCTATTGTTTTTTAAATACAATAATTGTCCATAGAATATCTTTTTACTAATAGTAGGTGTTTAATTAATTCAAAAAGCGTCTATGCATCTATCCTTTGCAATAATGGTACCTTAAGACTTTTGATTGACTTCTCATATCTCAGTCATTAAAATAAGTTGGTCCTTAAATAAAGCTCTAATTTGTCGAGTTTAGAGTTTTCTACCTACTTAAAAGTTAGCTTCTACTCACTTATTCATGCATAGGTTTTCTTTCTATTTAGCTAAAAGTACATTCAGAACAATTGAGTTGAAATTTAAGTTACATGATATGAAGTGTACAGTAGTCAAATCTGACACAGTCATGTCTAGCCTTTTGATATACTTTCTGTTTTCTTCTACTAAAAGACCTATAATACCTATAATAAAACCAAGGATGGAAATTATGAAAAGCTTTCGCGGTATGTTGTATTCATAAAAGGAAATACCAATTTTTATATAAATTAAAAAATAATTATGAGAGAGCAATATTCCCTATTGCAATAACAATTGTTTGAATTAATGGTCAAATATGTAAAAACTACTGTATGTAAAATTACATCTTTTGAAACTATTATGAACGAATACGAATTGACCATTACAATTCAAATAACAAATAGGAATTTCTTGAAAATACAGATATGATTGTTTCCTATAAAACAATCATAACATGAGGATTTACGAATGTGTTGTTTTTGATGTAGTAAAATAAATCAAGAAAATATTACGATATGTAGAGGGTGATTAAACCTCAACTAAAAATAACTGTGACTTTAAATTTATTAATCACTTTTTAAAATTATTATTTTTCGCTCAATAATTTTGATGTATATTTATTATGAACTTATTTTAATCCCTAAAGCGGTGTGGGACTTACAAAGTGTTAAAGAAACTGAAAGGTACTAAATAACATTGGTATTGAATCTTATAAAATTAAAAGGTTACAGGTGATTTAACTTCACAAAAATCAACCCTGACTAAACAGATTGTAACGCACAAAGCTTCAATAAATAAATTGAAAATACTAAACGTAGTTGGAATGGAACTAATTTTACGAGTATTAATGTTCGAAGTATTCTGGTTGGTTCCAGTAGCTTCGTACAACTCGTTTTTTTCGAATGAGCAACTCCAATACTCGTGTGAATTTAATTTCCGACTCACCACAAATCTCGCCTATCTTGCAAAAGCGGTTTGTGGTTTTTCTAAACGCTCCCCCTCCTATATTTTATGTCTTAGACCACACATTGTTGAACACTAACACTTCCTAGAACAACGAAATGTATTTTTGAGATGTTATGACTTGAATGTGCAATTTTTGAAATATTAATGTACCAAAGAAGAGTTGAAATGTTATTTAAAAATATGTATAAGATAAACAACTTTTAAAGGGGAGCGACGATCAATTATAACCCTAGCAAAAAGTCAAATTAATTTTAGGCGCGAGTCAAAATGGTGGGCTTGGGGTTTGGGTCTTGCTCCCTGCTGACCAAATGATTTACGTTAATTACATCTTCACACAGTTACCTCGGGACTGCAGGATGGCTACAAAATGAATAGGGCGCTAAATAATAAATGAAACTCTGCTGGTAAAGTGGTTGTTCCACTAAGAATCTACAAGGAAAAAATCGCAAAAATGTATATCACATTTGAGGTATTTTGTATTTTTTAAGGTTTGTTGGTGGTTGGGCGTTTTGATTTAGTGTCTAAAAGGAGTACTTCTATAAAATTATCACCGAACGTATTCAGTTTTAGGTGTAATTTTAGTTACAAACTTGGACTAAAAACACTCCCTGCTGCAGCATAGCTTAAGAATGGTCTTAAGCCTCAGAGCAGATAAATTAGTCATTGATTTATAAATATCTACCATGAAAGTCACTAGAGAAACATCTCCTAACTTCGACAATTTCGATTGAAAGCAATCAAAACCGCAAAAGCTTTCCAATAAAACAACTATGTACAAATCTTTTTAAGACAGTTAGGGCAGTAGCCTGTAGATGGAAGAGGGTGACTTATTCTTCTCCATTACATAGAACGAATGGGGTTTTCCATTTCCGGCGTAGTACTTCCTGAAAGTGTGCTTGGATTGCTTCTTAGGCCCGTAAAATACTGCTTTTCTGTAAAGCGTTTTCTCATCGTCCGTCTCGTTCCATGTAGCTTGTTTGTCGATGTTGAAGATGTCGCTGTCAGCCAAAATGGCGGACTTTCCCGCACTCCCGGCTTTCCGCGCGACCATCTTCTTCAACACCGGGATGTTCCAGTGATAGACCCGGGAGGGCTTGCCGTTCGTGTTGAAGTTGACAGGAACCTGGAAAACATTTAGATTTAAGTCTTCTAATTGACTTTGGATAGTGAGTAGACATTCTATCTATGTAGACCAGATGTAACCAGTTAGTTCCAAAAAAAGAACATGGTGGTTTGCGTCCACAACAATGGTCACGTCCTCACAACACTGTAAATGTGTCTAACTGAAAGGTTAGATTTTGCTCCCTTCTTGTCTGAGGGCGCTATAAAATTCTAGATCCTAAAACGTCGTAAAAATTAAATTTTTACTAATCTTAACGAAAATGTCCTAATAATCTCTTAAAACACCACCCTACCATCTTCAAAAATTAACTTTTAACAAAGTACATCCTATTTATAATCCAAAGATCAATGCCAGAGCTTTTAAACTATTTAAACCCATCAAAAAACTCTATACGACCTGTGATTTAATTTAAATTTGATTAATTTCCTGGAGATAGTATTTTGAACTCAATACAAAATTTCGTACAAATGAATGGATTTAATTTTCGAGAGATTTGATAACCACATCAACCTTACCTTGTTTACAGAATTGTGCTGAGGCTCCACAACGTCGTAGCCCTTGAGGTTGTGATGCGCGTAGTAGTAAGGGTTGGGGGGCAGCTTGATGACGAACATTTTGGAATCACTTGAACTCTTCTGGCTGTGTGTCTTTCTGGACTGACTCGCCAACCTCTTCCGGTGATGATTGACAGATGGGGAGCGAAGTTTCGTCATGCCCACGTGGTGTAGAAGATCTTCATTGGATTTTCTCCCTTTCTTCGAGACCTTTCTGCCTTTCTTTTCCGGGTGTACTTCATTGCCGTTTTTGTCATTCAGGGTTGGGTCTTCTTGAGAAGGACGGTCCAAATAAGAAAATTGATGCTTCTGAGAATGTTGAACCAAATGGTGAACCTGAGGTTGATCCAAACTTTGAGAATGTTGATCCTTGTGAAGATTTGGTTGGACCGAATGATGCTTCGATTGACCTTGATGATTTGAAGCATCTAATTGTGATGGTGCTTCTACTACGTGCGATCTCGCTGTTTCCCGTTTCACAGGTTCTTTGTGAAGAGGTGAGCAGACGACAAGGCTTGCTAGTGACGTCATCACGAGTATCGTTCGGCCTGTAGCCATCCTGGAAAAGAAATGCACGATTAGTGATCATGCTAGAACGAAGTAAGGACCACAAAGCATACAATGTGTGTGGTATAGAATATAAGAGTTGAGAAAATGAGTTTCTCGATTAAATTTAATTGAAAAAACTAAAAGGGTTTAATCAAATATATTGACTACAACTTCTCTCTTTTCATTACAAATGTAGTAAAAGACTTCATGTAATTTGAAAGATTAGCAAATGGAGATATTTTAACATTCTTTGTGAACAAACGTTGGGTGGATAACGCATTTCTTAGGTTTCTGTGGGGTTAACTTAGAAATAAGATAAATTACCATTTTACCTCTGCTTAAAATATACGGTTTACGATTACCGGTTGAACTAAATTAGTCTGCAGTGGCCCTTGCATACGGGTAACATTGATTTGTACTTAATCACTATTTCGATTAAGTGAAACACAAATATTTTGTGAGCTGGAATTAAAATCTATAAAGAGTTGCATCAAGATACACATTTGTGAACTTGCAAAGATGAATCGCCCTCTGGACCTTATTTGAACAGTTATTGTAATTAAAAACAACTGTCAGTCATGGAACACGTGTCAGCAATCTTAAGTTTTCACCTAGAATATCTTTCCTTTCCTACGCTGGGAGAGTGGGAGAGGCCACTCTAGTCAAGTAAAAACCTCAGATACAATCTTTACTACTCCTCAGAGTCATTCATAAGCCACTTCATTACCACAACCCACAATTACCACTCATTACCAACAGAACCTCCCAAAAGCCACTAATTACTCAATAAGAAACAGTTCAGTGGGTGGTCCTGCCACTAGCCACTACGTTGTAGACTCGTTTAAACTCCAATTACCACAAGAAAAAGCCAAACCCTCCAGAAACAAGAAACGAAACGCTCATCTGAGGCATTATGTTAAATTAAACGACGATTACGGCGTGTGTGCGGTAGGTCGTTGTATGATCGATTAAGATGTTATCGATAGTTGTGTGTGGTCGATATTCGATAATCGATAGCTCGCGGTCGCTTCATTATTGTCCGAGTGATGTACCAGTGCTTCCTGAACGGAAGGAGGAAGAGTGATTGAGGATGTGGAAGTTCTTCCGTTGAATATGGGAAGTTTAAACTGATTATGTTGGACAATCAAGAGAAATAGTTATCTAGAAAGCTCCTAACAGAAGATAATAATGGGATAGGATTTGTTTTCTAACCCGAGGTGAAAACAGTACTTCATCTGCGAGTAATTATTTTATCTACAATGCAGCAACAATCTTAACAGCTGGTTCAACCGAACAATTTTGTTTCTGCGATGTTCAATAGCATTAAAAACGTAATCGGTTTACCAACAGGATGCGTGTAGCAATATTATTTGTTTAAATTTATGACAACAGCTAATTTGCAACCAAAAGGTGAGTGAGCGTAGCTAACGAACTTCAACCTGAAAGCAAGTGAGCGCAGCGAACGAGATCACACCTAAAGGTGAGTAAGCGTAGCAAACGAACTTCAACCAGGACGTGGTTGAGCGATGCGATCGAGCTCATCTTGAAAATGAACGAGCATTTGACATAAAACCACATTAGGACAGGACGACGCCTGTCGGGCCAGCTAGTATGTACTAAAATTAAGAAAAGAATACACATTGAGAAGGTTAGTATGAGCAAAGAATAACTTTTTCAAAATCATCTTCTTGAAAGAGTTTTTTAAATAATTTTTTTAAAATGTATTAATTTGTTTAAAAAAATTAAATCAAATAATTAAGATAAATTTTTCATACTTGAAATCGTGATCCCAAAAATGTATTTTGACCTATACCTCTTGGCTAAAAAATGAGGATTTACGTAATAAACATGTTAAAAATAATAACACAGGCCAATAATGAGGAACTATACGGTTATCCACATCCTTGTAAAACAGTAAAAATAATAATATTACACCAGATTTTTTATTGTTCCTCGCATTTATACTTAATGGCAATTCTTAAGCTGACCAAGTAGTTGGAAAATTCCTCTTTATTCCTGGAGGAAGAGTAGTCAACCCCAAGAGTGGAGAGGACTTACCAACTACTTAAGTCAGTTTGAAGAACATTTAGGTGTGAGACCTTGGTTGCTAGACAAAAACGACCAATGACAGTGCAACATGTATTTAACCTTTTTATTTGTGAAAAACGTATTCCAGAGACTAAAATTATTAAATTAAATTTATATAATCTTTCACAAAAAATCTAAACTTGTTTCTTCAGTTCCTACTCTGCACGAAACAGGAGTACATAAACTTCATCTCGTTTGCGCTGTATAGTTCATGTTTTGTTCTACTTGAAGTTTATTAGTTTCATAAACCATAACGATATCGTAAAACGCTTTATACGAGTAACTGTTACAGCAACAACACTACTAAATAACACAGACCTCCAAGAAGGCGTAGACTTGCTGAAGGCACCAAAGTGGCGCGAGGTTAATTTTCGCGCCAATGGGCGGTATTTTGGCGGGCAGATTGTAATCTTGGACTCCTGTATTACTGTTGTTTCAGATATTAGCAAGCCTAATGCGTCAGGTGTGCTATTAGCGAAGGAGTGCTGGCGAAGTGTCCTGTCTGAATCGGCGGTTGAAGCGCATCAGATGAAGATAAGGAAAGGTACTTGCTATGAACTGCTACTATAGAATGAACGCTGGAAGCAAACATCTAAGAATCAGCAGTTATTTTGAAGCACTCTCGATGTTAAGGGTAGCTTATGTGAATTTTTGGTATGGATGAACTGCAAAAGATGGCTCAGAAGGTGGAAAAATTATGTTTGAAGATTTAATCCAGTAAATTTGTATTTAAATTTACTCATGGCGAGAAAGTTTTGGGGTAGTATTGATTTTTTCCATTTCTTATGTATTTTGGGGTGCTGAATCCGAATCTGAGGTTTGCCAACAAAAATTCTTGACGCAACATTGACAAAAATGAGAAAATATGGAAAAAATTATATTTTTTGTAATAGTTAGCTTATAACTCACAAACTATCAACTTTTTGTTATTAGTCTATATTATAAAAATTAAAGTACACAAAATTTGCTACAAAATGTACCCCTAATGTGATAATCTCCGATGAACCGTTTAGGCTCCAGAGCTATTTGAAAATTGGAACATTTTGTGTTAGTTTTTACATTTCTCCAATTATTCTGTCAATGACATATATTCATTGTATATGCCCAGGCAAAGGTCTTATATAAATACAAAGTGTTAAAATTGATTAATTTTGTGTTACTGAACCGTTGACAGTTTATTTAGTGTACATAAAAGTTACACGAACTGTTGCCGTTTAAATTATCCTCACTCAGAGGGTTGTAATGAGGCAGGTTCTGGCAAACGTTTCGATGCATTATTTGTGAGCATTCTAGATTGTTCATCTGGACAATTAAAAAAGGGTAAAAGTAAAAAAAAATTACACATAATAATAAGTAATACCAAAATCAAGATTATCAAAATTAAAATAACAGCAATCTGTTAATCATGTAATATCGTATGCACTTGATGACGTGATATTTAGATATACGTAAATAATAAAATGTTATGTAGGCATATACTGTTGCTAAGCATTTACATTGTGTGTAGATTTAACAAGTTAATAAATAAAGGAATGTGCGTTTGGTACTATACTTACTTTCTTACTTACTTAGATTCTAGCATCACAGCCCATCGTACATCCTCAATCGTATTGGCACCCATTATAAAATTTTCTGTGTAAAATTTCAAGACCGATGCATGGCTTAGAGTGATTGGCACTGTTACCATAGGCCAATACCAATTTTTTTCACCCCCATTCATTCACCCGAATGTAAATGTAAACTCTAAGCGAGTTATGTCCACACAGCTGCTTGAGTTGGGGGCAGTGAGGCAACGTTGGATTTAGTTTTCTAGCCAAAATTTGTATTAACTATCTTAAGTCAATTAACCCTTACCACTCTCATGTAGGCCTATGCCCTAAGCCCTAGGACCTACAATTTATCAAATCTACACACAATGTAAATGCTTGGCAACAGTATATGCCTACATAACATTTTATTATTCACGTATATCTTAATATCACGTCATCAGGTGCATAAGATATTACATGATTAATAGATTGGTGTCATTTAAATTTTGATAGTTTTCTCTTATTATCATGTGTAAATTTTTTACTTTTAACCTTTTTTTAATTGTTCAGATGAACAAGCTAGAATGCTCACAAATAATGCATCGAAACATTTGCCAGAACCTGTCTCATTACAACCCTCTGAGTGAGGATAAATTAAACGGCAACAGTTCGTGTAACTTTTCTGTACACTAAATAAACTGTCAACGGTTCAGTAACACAAAATTAATCAATTGTAACACTTTGTATTTATATAAGACCTTTGCCTGGGCATATGCAATGAATATATGTCATTGACAGAATAATTGGAGAAATTTAAAAACCAACACAAAATGTTCCAATTTTCAAATAGCTCTGGAGCCTAAACGGTTCATCGGAGATTATCACATTAGGGGTACATTTTGTAGCAAATTTTGTGTACTTTAATTTTTATAATATAGACTAATAACAAAAAGTTGATAGTTTGTGAGTTATAAGCTAACTATTACAAAAAATATAATTTTTTCCATATTTTTCTCATTTTTGTCAATGTTGCGTCAAGAATTTTTGTTGGCAAACCTCAGATTCGGATTCAGCACCCCAAAATACATAAGAAATGGAAAAAATCAAAACTACCCCAAAACTTTCCTGATAAAAACACAAATTAACTGAATTAATTGGACAAGGAAAGTAGAAAATTTTTCACTTATTTGTTAAGTATACTGCATTGTACATCCTTGAGAATGAGCAGACTGTGTAGTAGTGACCTCAAAAGTTGGCTGTAAATGGTTAAACAGATGAAGATAGGAACTATTTTCATGTAACAAATACAGGTTATAATGTTTGCCTGGTTTGAAAGACGTTTACATACTTCATCTGTGGTCATTTGTTAGTTGTAATAAATTTCTGTGTTATG